TTCAGATATATCAAAAACTAGTTAGGAACATAATATGTAGCTTAGATACATTAAAAATTAGCTCGAATACATAATATATATAGCTCGGATGCATCATAAAATAAATCGAATATGTAGCTCGAATACATTAAATATTGACTTGGATACATTAATATGTAGTTTGAATACATTAAATAAATTTAGAGAGAAATAAGGGATTTAAGAGGTTTTAGAAATAGAAAAGGATATTGAAAAAAAAAAGAAAAAACATAAGACATGTATTTGAGCAGTTTTTTTTTTTTTTTTTTTTAATGTAAATGACCCACTTTAACAACTAAGTGTAGTGATTTGGGCTAAGATCGAATGAGCCCAGCTAAGGATTTATGATGGAAAAATTACTTTGAGATTGACAAATTATACTAAGTAATTAATTCATGAAAAAATTTACATAAATATACTATAATAAATAAATAATTATGATTTATAGTAATAATTTTTTTTACTTAATTACTTTTAATTTATTTATAATACAAATTTAATACATATAACAAAGAATAATTTATTATTCACATATAATACAAGTTTTAATAATGGATGATAAATATATCCCACATTTTAATACACTTTTAATACAACGTGTTCAATTTTTACCAAACAAACATAATGCATTTTAATAATTCATATATATTTTGCATACATAATTCACTTTAATTCATATTGTAGGTTTAACATAATACTGCTATAAATGGTAATAAATAAAAAGTATCGCTAAATCAGTAATTATTTATTAAAATGTATCAATTTATGTAATCTTTTCTTAATTAATAAGGGTATAGTTTAATTTGTTTACTCTCAATTATTATAATTTCATTTTTTTGCCACAATCAATGGAACCCACCATCTATTTGTATACCAGTAAATGACTTATTTATGATTTTGTATATATAATTTTATACAAAATTAATTTTGTCTCTTCTATCCACATTAGATATCTTTCTCTTAATGTCGCTCCTCCATTCTATTTTAAATTTCAAGGAAGAGTTCACGTTCTCCATTTCGTCTTGCTATCAATTTTCGCAGGTAATCGCCAAAATCAATTCATGAATCTATTTTTTTTAGAAAAAAAATATTCCTTCATCAACAATTGTATATGTATTATACTTCTTAGATTTTTACATATATATTATTTTTTAAAATCCTTATCAATTTACAAGTTCTTCAAAATAAGAACGAAAGACTCATCTTCATCCATAAGAATTACTTGCTTGAATATTGTGCATATAGTTTTTTGTACATCAAATTATTAAATATAAAACTGATCAAGGTATTTGTGTTGTTATATTCATATTTAAAGTTTTTTATATATTCAACTAGCTATATATGTATATAAATAACTATTTTAAAAATTGATACAACTATTTGTTTTACATCACAAAATTTTTGTATTTTATGTTATATAATACAAAATTGCTTGAGGGATTTGTGTATATACAAGTACTATATTCATATTTCTTTTTATACATATACAAGTGATATTCACTTTATTTACATTCGTATATAACTTTGTTTATACATATACAACTTTTTTGTATATATTTATATTCATTTTATTTATATTCGTATATAAACTTTTTTTTATACATATATAATTTTTTGTATATTCAACTAATTATATATGTATATAAGTAATTACTTTAGAAAATTGATACACTTATTTCTGTAATAATTTGTTTTAAATCACAATTTTTTTTATTTTACGTTATTATATACAAAACTACTTGAGGAATTTGTGTATATACATGAACTATATTCATATTTTTACTTTATACTTATACAGTTACTTCACATTTATACAATAATAACTTTACAATTTGGTACAAATTAAACAATTTATATTCAATTTATTTACATTCGTATATAAACTTTATATACATTAAAGAGTTTAATTTTCCGGAAACAAATTCGTATAGTCTTTCTATGGCTATAGAATTCTTCTTTGAGAAGATATTTTATTTTGAATGTTTAGCTTAAATCGTGAAATTATGTAAATGCTTGTTACCGTATTTAGGGTTATAATTACTATTTAATGAAAAAGTAAATATAGTACAAATGTTCAAAAAAATATTTTATACAAATTAAAAATTAGATAACAAACTAAACTATATCGTAACTATGTAAATTATATCCATATAATATTATTTCATAAATTCAATTTGATATATATGAATTTTTTCCTTTATGATAAGTGGCTGACCCGACTTTGGTAAGGTCTCCAATAACATTTAACTAGTAGTACATCATTTGGTCTTTTCTTGGGTTAATTTTAATTTTATCCTTCAAGTAAGTTTATTTTTATTTTTCATTCTTAAAATTAAATCTATATCTAGTAGAAAATAGATTTTTGAAAAAAATATAGATATAACTCGTGAGATATTATGATGTAAATATATAAGAAAAAAAAGTGTGATATACCCTTTAACTTTGCACCTCGTTATAAAAATGACTTATATATACGTTATTATTTTACAAATAATTAACATATATCATTTTTGAAGTGGAAAAAATTATTTTAAGACTTTTAATTTTTTTTATTAAAAATAAATCGTATAGTGATATATTTACTCATGTTCACATTTATTTTCTTCTTTAATTTAACGATTAATTTAAATTTATTATTTGATGGTGAAATTTATTTGTCACTATCTTTTTTATAAAAGTTATCATAAATGACCTTTTTTTCTCTACAAATACAAAGAATAAATTGCATTATAATCGTAAAATAGTTTCAAATCTTTTTCCCTTCTTCCCTTGAGACATTTTCTTTTAGGGGTGGTCATTCGGTATTTCGGTTTGGTTCGGGTTTTTTTTTTCGGTTTTTGTAAATTACGTACCGAATACCGAACCGAAATATTTCGGTTCGGTTCGGTTTTTATTAATTCGGTTCGGTTTTTTATTTCGATTTTTTAATGGGTCTGTTTAGTGGGTTTTTAAAAATTTTAAACTTAACAATTTTTACAATTTTTTGTTTGATTTTTCAACTTAATGGGCTTTGATATTTCAACTTAATGGGCTTTGATATTTCAACTTAGGGTTTCTTCTTTTTTTAAAAAAGATTATTTAATATTAATAATTATTAAATATAATATAATTTATAAATTATAATATAATATTTCGGTTTAAACCGAAATACCGAATTCCAAAGTAACATGTACCGAAAACTGAACCGAAATACCAAAAATACAAAAAATATTTTGATTCGGTTCGGTGTTTCAGTTTTCCGGTTTTTATGCCCACCCCTATTTTCTTTTTGGTTTCTTACATGTTTATACTAAATAATGAAATAAAAAATAGTATCAAATAAGAAACTCAAATAATGATAATAAAAAAGTTTGAAAAATGTGAGAGAGAAAGATCATGTATTTCCCTTTAATATATTCATATATATAAAATTATTTTTTATTTTAATTAAATTATAATGAAATATGAGATCCATTTTGGTAACAATGGAGGTACATGTAAATCACCCTAACAACAATAAAAACATATATAAAATATTTTTGTAATTAATTGTATATCAGAGTTGAATGATAAAATTAATATAACAAATCTTTTTCTCATAATATAAATTTACGCATTGAAAAAAAATATTTACTTTATTAATTTCTATAGAGTAAAAAAATAAAAATTAGGGTAAAAAAGTGGCAACGATAACCAACAAGGGTTGGTCGGAGGTTTCGATTCTCCTGAGGTACAAATTTATATACTTTTAAGAAGCATTTTATCTCTTAGGGTCGTTTGATACAAAAATAAATAACGCATGAATTAGTAATGCAGGGATTAGTAATGCATGGTTTATTTTTATCTAGTGTTTGGTTAATTGTTTTCAATCCCAACTTGTATTTGAAATCAATTTTTAAAAAAATCTCTTTTCCAATCATACCCTTATATTATTATGTAATTTAGTCAAGGTAGATAGTTATCGGAAAATATTTCTTTTATGACATTCTAACTAGCTATGAGAAGAATAATTTTGTTGTCATGTTTTCAATTTTCTACTTGAATTATTTAAGGATAAATAATTTTCATCTTAATAAATTGATCACTAATAAAATATCAATTTTAAATTTAAAAAAAGATAAACCAACTACTTTTAAAATTATAAAAGACGGTCAACAATTGAAAAATTGAATAAACCATGTACAACCAATCGTAAAAAAAATTGCAAGTTATAATTTTAATATGTATGTAATTTTTTTAAATTGTTCAAAATACGAATAATTAGTGATATCTTTGTCTTTTAATTAGTAAATGTTAAATAACTCACATTTTAAATTTATATTGATTTGAATTAGATATATTTAGTTACAAATAAGTCTCTCTAAATAATTTGTAAACTAATTTATTTAAATAATTTTACTAATACAAATATAAAACATAAAATTAAAAAAAATTGAGGGATATTTTTGTCTTTATGTGCTTATCCAAATGGAAGGTATTAGTTTTACATCACATAATATCAAGTAGGATGTATTAACTAATCCATGAATTAGTTATATATAGGTTCACATTCTTATCAAATACAATATTAAATTATATCACATCTAATACATAAATTATTTCTTTTAATACAGCCTATCAAACGCGATGAATTTAAAAAAAAAAGAAAAAAAGTGACAGTGACCGATAGGCCCATAAGCAATGGCGACTAACGAAAGCAGGACCATTGACGTTTTCCACGTGATCGTACATAGTGGCGTGGTTTTGACGCTAGAAATAGAATATTTTATTGAAATCTCTTTTTTCCAAATAAAATCGGAATCCATTTGACTTTTATCGAAACCCATTTAATAAAAAGAGACCCGACCTAACAAAATTTTAAAAAATAATAATAAAAAAAACAACAGTTTGATTATATCTTTTTAATCCTATGAGGTAATTGTGTCACCATTTCCTCATTTAATCTCCATCGTTCAATCTGCCACTCACAACTACTTTACAGCTTCAAGAATCAAAACTCTCCCCTCTTTTATTTTGTCCTTTTTAAAAGGGAGGCAGCCAAGAAGAAACACAACTCTTCTGAGAGATATTTTTTAGTGATTAACCTTAAACAACAACAATGTCGGGAGGGATTGCTCGTGGTCGTCTTGCTGAGGAACGCAAAGCTTGGAGAAAGAATCATCCCCATGTTTGATTTCATGACCCCTTTCTTGATTTTCTTTAATTTTACAGTTTCTGATTTTGTAAATTTGTTTTTTTTTTTTTGTTGTTGTGTTTTATTTGTTGTGATGAATTTTGGGTATAGGGTTTTGTTGCTAAGCCGGAGACACTTCCAGATGGGTCAGTGAACTTGATGATTTGGCACTGCACCATCCCTGGTAAAGCTGAGGTGTGTTTTCAATCTTCGCCTTTGTCCAGTTTTCTTTGTTATGAATTCGGAAAGATTGCTGCTTAATTGATTGTGAGGATGAGGGCAAACCATGGGAAGCCTTCTTCAGTGAACACCGATTTTAGGGGTTAACCAATTTGGTTGACTTGTAGTATATGTTGATGCGTTGTTTTGATTGAAGTACACCTTGGTGTATGGACTTGAAATTAAATTGTTCTGTTCCTGTTGTTTAGCATTATGCTTATTTTATACCTGTAAATGCTACAATTTATAGAGACTACGTTGAATAACTACTTGCATTTTGTACTGCTGATGATTATGCAGAGTCTTTCGCAGCATGGAGAAAGAAAATACACCACAATCCATTGATAGCCACAGAATCCAGACCATCTTCTTATCTTTATAGAGATGTTTTAATTGCTATGTGATTTTCGCAAACAAACATTTGCTTTTGGCTTTGCATTACATATATTTCTTGTTGGTGTTGCTTCCTTTTCAAAATTGTTGAAAAGACCTTGAGGGATGTTGACGAGGTGCTTTGAGTTGTTGGTGTTCCCTTTCCAGGATTTGCCATATGATTTTGCACCCCCTATTTGAAACTCTTGGCATCAACTTCATATTTCTGAGTTCTTTTTTCGAGAATGGTAACAAACTTCATATCTATGACTTAATCAGCATGTGGTAACAATTGTATATTCCTTTAATGGTTTATACAACGGAAGGCATATCTAAATAGAAAATTCAACCTGTTCTTGTGAATCACCTTTTGAACATGAGTGGGTACGTTTCTAAAAATCACCACTACTTCCTTCAGAAATGTTCAGAACCTCAAGAGAGGGAAGAAAAAGAAATAGAAGATGGAAAAGCTTTTATGGGATTTCTTTTTCTTTCCTCATATATCCAGGGGTAAGGGAAGTAACCTGGACGGCTCCTTTCCCCCAAGAGAAAGTTGGATAATTCAAATTTTAACACTACGAATCTCGTATAGTCATATGAAGTAACACAGTTCAGTAGCAAGCCTTAAGTTTTATGAGTTATTGGCATCATATTAGAAGTTGTATGCTTTCTGTTATTTACTCTTACGTGGTAAAAAGGTTTTCTGCATATAGGAGTACATAGTGTATGCCTAGTAGATGCAGGGGCGGATCTAGGAAGTCTAAAGGTGTGTCACGGGACACCGGTTCATCGAAAAAATTTGATATATATAATATAAACAATTAAAAGAAATAAAACAGATATATATATATATACTATATAGTGTTATCTTTTGACAAATAAGGGCGCACAGCTTAGTTGGTCGAATGTAACGATTGTTGCCTGAAGGACGCGAGTTCGAAACTTGGCAGCTTTGCTTTTATCTTATAATACATTTTAGGAGCTTTAAATTGTTTAAATATATATATATATATATATATATATATATATATATATTCTTTGTTTTTTCTTTTTCTTCTTTTGCTTTTTATTTTTTTCTTTTGATATTTTATATAAAAAATAATTAGCACTTTGATTTTTAATGAGCTTACTTTCAAAACAAAAATTTATCGAGAAAAAGTTATTTGTTTTTACTTATTGAAATATATATTATAGTAACGTAAATTGTGTGTGTGTATATATATATAAATATATTAAAAGGTGACACCACTTGCAAAAAATTCCGTGTACGCCACTGAGTAGATGCATTAGTATTGAACTTCAAGTGTAAGCATGCAGAGTACATGTATGTTAAGCTGGATCAATTGATTTATGTACCATGCAAGCTGCGGAGTGTGCTTCTCTTATGCTTCTGGTTTCTTCCCTGCCTCTCTCATATCAGAGCATATAATGCTTGCTAATCTTGTAGCATTATCCTATTTAATGAAAGTACTGTGCTTGTCTGATAGGGGGGAACTCGTCTTCGTCTTTCTCTTATTGTTTCTCCTAACGAAAATTAAATGCTTGCAGACTGATTGGGAAGGTGGTTGTTATCCACTTACAATTCACTTCAGTGAAGATTATCCGAGTAAACCGCCAAAGTGTAAATTCCCACCAGGCTTTTTCCATCCCAATGTCTATCCATCTGGAACAGTTTGCTTGTCGATCCTCAATGAAGACAGTGTATGTTGGATATACGCTTTCTTTGTATTCGTCTGCTTACCGACTGTGCTCAATGTATGATGGCTATTATTTTCTTTTTCTTGTGAAGGGTTGGAGACCAGCCATCACCGTGAAACAGATACTGGTTGGTATCCAGGACTTGTTAGATCAGCCAAACCCTGCTGATCCTGCCCAAACTGAAGGGTATCATATGTTTATTCAGGTAATTTTGATTAAAAAAATGTTAATTCTCCATTTTTACATACTCAATTCACGAGAGACTTTTTTTTCATGATAATATGTTAAGATGTACCATCAAACATACTTTCCTTTACTCTTGCTGTCTCAATTAATAAAACAATCTTCTATCTTGGAATGTCTCAAAATTTGGGCACCATTCTATTATACAATTATCTCAAATCGCAAGGAGTTAAATGCATTTAACTAGTCAAAATTAGGTTTTGATGAAATACTTTTTCTGCCAATCCAGCTGTTTAATGTATTATTTTTACCTTTTCTGATATATTACAATATTCAGATTCTGTATGTGAATTAACTTTCATGTTGCATAAAATGGGATGAAAGCATTCGGGTCAAATTTTATAGGTTGCTTATGTATCCCTTTTATTTGAATTGTAACTTTTACTTTGGCCCCCTTTTACTAGGATAGGAAGATTTTGACTTTCACCTTAATAACCACGTGAGATGGGACGAAGGAAGTGCTAATTGTCATATCTCTTGTACTATTAGTCTGTGCTTTAGCTTTATGTCACAATAATGCTCCTGCACATGGAGATTAGAAAGATACTGGTGGCTTTTGCTGTAGTTTAAAGGCATTAGTGATTGCTTCGTCATCATTTGGGAGCTCCAAAACCTTCCGATTTCTCTTTCTCGAATTATTTCAGATTCTAATAATACATTTAGGAAATGGCAGAAAGATTCGTAGTTATCTCATTAGTGGGACAGACATTATGGTGATAATGTTAATAGTAGTTTAGAGGTCCATATTGCGTCTTTTCTTTGTCATGCTTGAAACTGCTGAAAGATGTATAAGTTCTGAATAGGAGTTTTATTCTCCCTGTTTGACACTCTTGCAGGATGTTCTGGAGTACCGAAAGAGGGTGCGCCTGCAGTCTAAGCAGTATCCACCTCTTGTTTAAAAGAATGTTTGTCTAATGTTGTGGTGGCTCTATAATGTACGTCTATGTTTGCTGTCAATAGAGGACAATGAATCTGCCAGCTAGTGACTCTTATTGGTATTTGTTTAAGTGGAGAAGTAAATATTAATTACTACAGGATTTTATCTCTGATAGACTATATCTGTAGAAGAACAAGCACAGCTGCAAATTGTTATCTAAATGGTGGAAATGTGTTGAAACTTATTTTCTTTTGCAAAAGTGGAATTTCTATTCAAAACATCCAAAAATCTTGCTCCAGGGAATATACTGTGTGCTTTGGATCCAAAATTAGCTCTGTTCTTTCTGTTTTCTTCTTTTTTGTTATTGTTCACCTGACACTTTCAAATTAACAATTACCAAAAGAGAACATTTTTCACTGGCAAGTCTTTGGTATGTTTTGGTTCCTCTGGGAATTGTGTTTGCCTGCACCAAGGACACATTAAATTGTTTGATGTGATATGTAGTTGGGTAAATTTATTTTTCACCAAGTACCACTATTATTAATATATTTCCTCTATTTCACTCCCACTATGATAAATGTTTGGTCATTTTAACTTTTTGTGTAATTTCCTGATTGATTCATACATCTCTTTCTTAGTCCAAGAAAAAACAGTTCTGTTTCTCTTCAATCATTGTCATTTAAAATAGAAGAAATATTTTATGTGAAGGAGCATTGTTTCTTTTGTTTGCTCCTTCGCTGGATGTGAACGTGTGATAAAAAGAAGTTACAATTATTGAATCCGTGGGTCTTTCTGATTCAATTACTCGTATCTGTTTGTTGGATACTGTGGCAATTCTTATTTCCTTGGGACTTGGTAACAACTCTTCTCCTGCTAATCATGCAGAGAACGGAAAGTGCAGAATTAGGGTTAGCTTTACCATTCAAGATTAATATACAACATTCTTCTGCCATTAAGGTGAAGCGAGTACATTTTGAAGTTTTTTAGAAAAAGAATCAACCAAAATTACCTACTACAATATGCTGTAAACAATTCTCCCTCACAATATAGGCACCATATGTGTGTGACGAAAAAAAAACGGATTTCCAAAATGTGTCATAATCTTCAATGACTAACTTGACCATGTTCTAGCAGATAGACATTAACTTCTCAGTTTTAGGTTGTTTACTGCCTGAGAAGTTAAAGGTACAAGCACTATTACAGCTGATGAGTCACTTGGTCTATGTGGGCAAAAGCAGATAGGTTGTCGACGATGATAAATGATTTCATTATCCAAATTGGTTTCAGGTGTGACACTTACTTACAATTGACCATGTACCCTTGCTGGTTAATGGTGTAACTGCAAGCTATGAGTATCCATTATGTGCATCCCTTTTGTTATTCTCGACCATTGCACTATCCTTTATATCTTGTATTATTTTCAAGATTTGCCTCATTGTTGGTCTCTGTTCTGGTGATGTCAAGCTACATATACTAGCAAGGTCAACTAGCATTGCAAGCCATCTATCCTCCTCGTTATCATCCTCCCTCATAGCTCTAACCCAATCCGGCACATCAGGGGGAGAGAGATGTGGATGCTGAGATGGAGGTTTACCCGTTAAAAGCTCTAATAACAGAATACCATAGGCATATACGTCAGACCCTGGTGTGGCTCTTCGTGCTGATTTGCGCACTTCTGGTGCTTTATAGCGTGCTGAATCAGGATCATCCTCAGAAGAAATATCTGCAAGCGCAATGATGGAGTAGTCTGTTAGACAGGCCTCAAAATCAGACCCTAGAAGGACGTTGGAGGATTTCAAGTTGCCATGAGTGAGCTTTGACGCTTGATGGATGTAAGCAATGCCCTGAGCCACATCTTCTGCTATTTTTAGACATGATGTCCAGTGAAGAGGCCTTGCCCTTGTTGATCTTGAACCTGCCACGAACAATAGAAAATTGAACATAATATATAAGTAAAAGGACAACTGAACATCAGGTTTCCCATTTAAACACACTGAATATATAAAGATATCAAATCTTCTAAAGCAGTGTAATCTATCAAAATAAAATCTCAATTTCTGGATAGTGGAATCACAAGGGGATTCAAAAGAAGCAAGAACGTCATACATTAAACATGTAAAATAAAGCAATTTCATACCACTTCGGCACTACACTGAGTTTTTTCTTATGTAGAGTATTCAGCAATTTCTATATATACAGCAAAATAGTGTTTACCCTCCTTCATTATGCAATTCAATTTCTATAAATAGATGCAATTCATTTGAACCTCCTTCATTACATGTGACACTACATTGCTGAAGGAAACGGTTACCTAAATCCTTCCATCTAACAACATCAAGTAAGTTGAATATTCAAGAAACACAGAACATTTGGACAATAAAAGGAAAACACCAAATTAACATCCTATTCAACTTAAAAGAAGAAACAAACACACTCATAAATACCAAAAAGACAGATGCAAGAGCCAAGGACCATTTGATAAAAAAATTTGAGGAATATAGTGCTATCAACCCATACCGGTCAGTCAGTGACAGCCTGAAACTAAAACACATTACTATTTGGCTGCCCTGTTAACACAAACTTTGCAATTGTCGGTAGTGAACTCAGTGGGTGCCCATGTTAGGCATCCACACTAAAAGCTAAAAAAGTCCCCTGCTACTGCAACCATAGCAACCACTGAAAGATCCAAAACACTACAACTAATTTCTTTAAAGAAAAAAAAAAGGCTAGTTATTGATTAGCCAGTAGCCACAGACAACTCACTCTTCCACTTTTTTCTCCATCACAGGTCCACCAAATTGACTTCACATTGACCAATTAGCAGAATTACCAAAAATGAAAAATAAACATTGATCCATTTCAGATGAATAATTTGTAGAACTAGTAATGATATATTAAAAAGTTAGAAACTTTACCATGAATTAGATTGAAGAGACTACCATTAGGCTGATAATCATAGATAACAAGCCTTTCTTGTTTAGCCTGAAAGTATGCTCTAACTGCAACCAAATTTGGATGCCGCAACATCCCAACTGACTCCATGTGTTGCTCAAACGCTTCTGCACTTGTAATCGAAGTTTTACCAGCATCCAATCGCTTTACTGAAACGATTAACTGACTAGCCATCAGAGCTTTATACGTTGTTCCAATTGTGCCTCTTCCAAGCAACTCTGCTGATGCTCTCATTAGTTGTTCTAAAGAATACAACTCTGTTTCCCCTGAACAAAATATCAGATTTCCACTCTTCATCTGTTGTTTCGGGGCTTGAAGCACTTTCACTTCTTTTTCTAATTTAATCTCTTGGCTACTATCATCTGGCTCAGAAACCGTTGCGTTCGCTGCACTATTGGTGATTGTCTCAATGGTACATTTTGTTTCTTTTGATTCAATTTCAGTTTCTTCTTTTCTCCTTTTCACAGAAGCAAAAAGACAGAGAACAGCTGCAATCAAGATCAATGTTCCAACTACAAAACCCAAAACAACACCAACTTTTTTGTGTTTGTGCTGAGGTGGAGGAGTAATAAGAATACCCTGCGACTGTGCGTTTTGGTATAACGGTGTGGGCGGAGAGGCAGCAGAGGAAGGTGAATCAAAGAATGGAGCCGAACGACACGGCTTATCAACAACCTCGCCACAAAGATTAGGGTTCCGTAAGAAAGACCGTACGTTAAATTTCTTCAGAGTTGGAGTAACAGGTACTGGACCAGTGAGGTTATTATTAGATACATTGAAAATTTGGAGTTGGGTCTGGTTCAACGGCGGAATCGAACCGTTAAACCAGTTAGAATCAAGCCGGAGATAGTTCAACCGGTCAAGAACAGTAAGCCTAGCAGGGAGTGAGCCAGTGAGATTGTTACGAGAAAGATCAAGAATAACAAGAAGGTGAATAGAAAGAACAGAAAGGGGAAAAGTTCCAGAGAAAAAATTATGATCAAGAAACAGAGTTTTCAGGTTAAGAAGACCGGAAAGATCAGGAATAGGACCGGAAAGTGAGTTATTCCTAAGATTGAGTATTCGGAGTTGGTCAAGATGAGTTAAACTATTCGGCGGAAAAGTACCCCGGAGACTAAACCCTTGAAGAACTAAACGCACAACACGACCCTGTACACATTTGACTCCTCGCCATTGACAGTAATCAAAACGCTCGTTCAGTGTGTAATGAAGCTTGTTGTCAAGGTCAGCTTTTGACTTGAATGACAATAAAGAAACAGCGTCGGAAGGAAGCAAAGAGTTGAATGGAGCAGAAGGGGTAGTGGTAGCAGCAGCAGCAGCAGAAGAAGAAGAACAAGAGTAGAAAGTGTATATTAGTTGAAGAAGAAAACAGAGCAGAAGCATCAATGGGGACATTGCAAGTTTTGCAACTAAAAAAATGTTGGTTTAGTGACTAGAGGCCAATTTTAGTGCTTTTTGTTGTCATATTGTTTGGTCTAAAAAATGGACTGGATTTTCGGAGACAGTGAGGAACTATGGAGAAGAGTGAAGGGTGAAAGGAAAAACCAAATGACAAATATGGCCCATTAATTTTGGCTCTAGGGTCAAAATAGTCTCTAAGGATTACACAAACAATAAATTGTGCTCTCTTTTTCTTTCAATCGACTCCAGAGAGAAGTTCTTTCGTAATTATCTCTACTTTAAAATTAGTTTAGTTATTTATTTTCAATGTGCGATAATAAAATTCTAAAACTCCAAATTTATTTAGAGAATTTTTTATTTTTCATATCAAACGAGTCGATAAAGTTAGTGATTATTTTGAAATTACAGTGAAAGATTAAGAACCATTTTTGGAAAAAATAGTTATTGGGGAGCAGCTGGCTTAGAACATGGGTCAGTGTTACGTGAAAGTGGACAAAATTTGTAGAAGAAAAACAATTGGAAATTGTAGAGAGCATAGTCATTCGTCTGAATCTCCTGCTAAATTTACTCATTTTATTTACTCGTGAATCTGTGCATATTTTTTATTTGTCTCAACAGTCTCACTTCCTGCTGTATTTAAAGGTCGCATTAATGATGAACAGTTATTGTTATCTTACTGAACAGAGTTTATTGTTTCAATTGGTATATTTGTTTTCTAGTATGTTACAAAAATTAACCCACGGAAAAAGGTACAAATATATACCAAATACAAATACTGTTAAAAATAGTTTATTCATATCCTCATTATATTTTAGGTTTAAATATACTTTTTTTATTATATAAATATAATCTCCACAATATTTATTTAAAAATATATGTGATTGTTATAACCAGTGTTCCGTTCCAATGAGCTGAAAATTAAAGTTCGTTTGAGCTCACTGATGGAGTTTATTAGTTTGAACCAATCCAAAGGTTATTTTAGAAATTAAAATCTTATCGTTGAACCTCTAGTTTGACAAGTTAATACATTCATCGATAAAAAATAAATTAAGCAGTTTAATTATTTTTTAGTCACGAGTATGCACAAATTTTATAAATAATAATTTAAATGAATATTTGTCAAATACTTTGAAACGTTTTTAAAATGAGAAAGGTATCATTACAAATTAGAATATAAAGATATGAGTTGGAAGAGTGAAAACTAATGGAGGTGGTATAGTGTTGTTCCTTTTTGACTAATACCACATCTTTTTAAGCCAATCATAACGTGATCTTATGAGGTGAGTGATTACCTTCCCCGTTAAATATCAATGATTAAAACATTATATTCATAAAATATATATAAAAAAATATTACTAATAAAGTATTTATATTTAAATCATTGCTTGTTTGATCAAATACATTTTTAAAATCTCGTAAAAAATGATCGCCTTGATATAGGTGATTAATGATGGTAATGTATTGACAATTGAGCAAGCAAGATGGAAAATAACATGTTCCCTTCTTTTCTTAAAGTCCAAACTTTCAAGGCCTCAACCAAAGTTTTCCTCTTCTCTTTTAATCCCTTTTTTTTTAGCCCAAAGTAGTGTCTTTTTCATATAAAGACGATTAAAATGTATTGGGGCACGATAAAAGGTTCTTTACCTCTAGAGTTGTCTTTTCTACTCTACCGTGGGGCCTATTTACAAAGTTAAAAAGTGAATGCTTTTACTCTAATTGCCAAGTAACTTTTACAATCTAAATCTTATTAATGGAGTAGCAAATTATGACACACTTAAGAGTATAAAGCAACAACTTCCAACGTGAGAGGATTTTGATCGAAATATCTACTTAACGTGTCGTATGATTACATCGATCATGAATTATAAGCTCTAAATTTGAACTATATATATAGTACAACATATTTATAATATTACACAGATCGTTATAATAAGAACTGTGGACTCACTTATCACTTGTTTAATAACTTAAATTTCTGAATTCAAAATCAAATATAATGACTGATGCATTGTTGGTCAAGGATCTTGAGATGATAACTACAAAGGCTTGAAAATGAATTTCCATGATGCTGGCCCAATATATTATTAATGACATCATAAGGCCCACTATCATAGTTGGTTTTCAACAAATTAAAGTCCCAACATTTCTTTCTTAGTACTATTCTTGAAATTGGCTACTTCATACTAAATTGAAATTATTACTAACGTTCGAATTTGATAGATGACACGGTCAACTTCAGAAAATTAAATTGCATTAAAAAAAAAAGTGGGCAAACGTATAGTACTAGTAATATTTAAGGCTGCATAACGTCACTTTTAACAATTTTTTTTATTTTTTGAATTGTTTCACAAACTGCCCAAATTCAATAGAGGATCTAGATAGGTTTTGCATTGTATTAAAATTGAACCTTTTTTTGCACTGTGGCATAATGGGACAAAAGGATTGGTGAAAGATGTAGACTTGATTGAATTTTATATTGAAGCTTGGGACTTGACAACAAAATTTTAATATATTAAGTGAGTCCTAACAAATGGTATGTTCTAAATTTAGGGAGTTTTCTATTTTAGTTGATAGTTCCAACTGACCTAGCATTATAGTTGGCACCTTGCATCAAGAATTGTTCATCCACACAAAAATTGTGCTCAAAAAACAAATATCCCTCTTTTTCTTCTTATTCTTTAATACGATTCAAATTTTTATCCACCAATTAAATGTATAAATAATGAAAAAAGGTTAAAAGTTATTAAACAAAGTTTCACTCCTCTAAAAACAAATAATATCTCACTTCCTACCTAATCATTCAATACATTCCAATCGTAATCTACACATGGCTACAATTTTTTTGTTTGGATAAATTCAAGTAGGTTTAGGAAGTACGGTTGACTTATTTTACCTAAGGCAGACAACTATACGTATGCATAATTTTTACAGCAAAAAATGTCATTAAAAAAATTCAATACTTAAAAAAGTTCAAAAGGTTTTAACATTTATTATATAAAAAGTAATTTCGAGTTTTTTTTTTGACAAAGAGGATTCAGATAATACTAGCTCTTCACATGTGCATTTTTCAAGATATTATATTTAAAGAGTAATATCGTAAAATTATCTTTCCAGTATATAAAGTCAATAATCGACAAGTATTATTAGTAACATGGAGTAATAAACATGGTGAATAATTAAAAATCAACAAATTAGATACACTTCTGAAGCTAGTATTATGGTATCAACTAAGTCTAATTTTGTAAGATACATGTGAAGGTATTTTAATGTATTTAATGGCATCTGATTCGCCTGCTTCGAGTGTATAGTTTATTATTATTATTATTATTAAAAAAAGGTTGGTTACGTGAGAAATAAAGATGGAATGAGCAAGGAAAAGCGACTTGCTGCTTGTAAATTAGTTACTCAGTCACTACCAAATACCTTCCCTTCAACTACTCTCCAATTTCAATAATCTAAACATTTTTTAGATGAAAATAAAACAAGGTGGTTGCAACAAAAAAATTGAGTTAACCAATCACAAAGCCATATGGTCAACAAGTCAACTTCTTATTGCCAACGAAACTTAGCTTTACTAAATCAAATATTGGTGGGATTGTAATGTCATCATTAGTACTTTATAACTCACTTCATTTTTCTCACAAGAAACTCATCACAATTTTCCAAAACCAAAAATTAAAAAAAATCAAAGATGAAGAATACTATTGGAAGTAGCACAAAGTTAATACTTCTTCATCCTTATATACAAAAACAGGGGAGTTCGAATCGGTTTTGGACGTTGGCTTTTATTTCTATCTTAACACTTGCTTTTCTTCTTACTCTGATATATACGAGGGAGTCGAAAATCACGACCTCTATAGCTGTTGCATCTACAATTACTAGTACAAGTACACCACCATTGTCAAAGGCTGTGGCTAGGGCACTTGTTCATTATGCATCGAATTCGAATAACACAGAACATATGTCTTACACTGATATCAAACATATTGCTGATGTTCTCCAAAAATGTTCTCAGCCTTGCAATTTACTTGTTTTTGGACTTACACACGAGACTCTTCTATGGAAAGCCCTGAATCACAATGGGAGAACGGTTTTCATCGATGAAAATCGATATTATGCAGCTTACATTGAGGAAAAATATCCGGAAATTGAAGCTTATGACGTGCAGTACACAACTAAATTGAGCGAAATGAAGGAGTTGATTGCTGGAGTGAAGGAACAAGTCCGAAACGAATGCAAGCCCGTGCAGAATTTGCTGTTTTCGGAGTGCAAACTGGGGCTAAATGACTTGCCAAATCAATTTTATGAAGTGGATTGGGATGTTATTTTGATTGATGGTCCAAGAGGGTATTGGCCTGAGGCACCAGGACGAATGTCAGCTATTTTCACTGCTAGCGTATTGGCGCGGAGCAAGAAAGGGGGAAATCCAAAGACGCATATTTTCGTGCATGATTTTCATCAACAAGTGGATAGAATTACGAGCGATGAGTTCTTATGCAAAGAGAATCTGGTGAAATCAATGGACATGTTGGGGCATTTTGTGTTGGAGAGAATGGATGCGAACAACTTTCAATTCTGTCGCAACCATAACTCAACAACAGCAAATTCATCTTCTTAGCACATTTTTATGTTGTTATATGATCTATCGGGCTTTATTTCCTGTTTCATTTTATTATTTAACACATGTTGCAGATTTTTGGACTTGTTATATGCTAGGGAAGGAGGGGCAGTGTAAAAAATAACTTCTCTTTTGGTATATTGTAAAATGTATTCTTCTACATTTTGAATGAAAAAGGCAACTGTTTTTTGTCAAAAATTTCCAATCATATTATTTATCTTCCCATAATCTTGTTTAACCACGTAATTTTATTAAATATAATCAGAACTTAAGGGACCAAAATCAGTATATATATTACTATAATAGACTAGTGTGAGCGTTATCCTAAACATAAGGACCATTTTTATCATCTTTTGTGAATAATTGTTGGGTATATTTGGCCTGTCAGGAATCTTACCCCCAAAAAAAAAGCTACATGAAACAGCAACGCTAGTGACTGGCAGAATTAATAGATTCCAAACTGCATATTCTAGCGAACTAAGAAGAAGAAACACAGAAAACTGGAAGCACCATGGCTACAGATTTCAAGTTTATCCCTCTTATAGGTATGAACTTTCAAGCCCTTTTTTCAATTTGTTATTTGCTTCTCTTTTTTTGGCATAGGAGGAGTTAGAATTTTGAATAAATAAATTCTGGATTGTTGGATTCTTTGATAAATTATTTATAAACATAATTATAGAGTTTGAGCCAGAGTTAAACGAGTTTTGCTGAGCCGAACCTATAGGTGAAACTCTATCTCGGCCCTTTGCTTTTTTGGACATGGATGTTGAAACCCTTCTTAACATGGTTGCATTTTCATATGAGGCAGATGTGAGTCCTCTTTTGGAGAAGTGGGATCATCCAAATATTACTCAAGATGAAGGTGTAGCTCAAGTTGTTAGGCAATTAGATCAGGCTTGTAGAGAAGCTGGATTCTTTTATGTGGTAATGCTTCTTTAGCCTTCTAATATTTGTATTTATGGATTTTATTGGTGGCCTTGGAAATAGCCTCTTGTAAAAAGGAAGTGCAAGACTGCGTTAAACCCTTGTGTGATCCGGCCCTTGTTGGACCTGTGTATAAACGGGTGCTAAGTGCCCTTGGCGATCTTGATTGCAGCCTAATTTTTGGTTTTATCCAATTTGCAATTTTGGGGAAATAGTGTGCTGTCACTGAGAAAGAAGCTAAGCTTTTACTAAGTTTAAGTTGGATCTTTCATATAAATCAATTGATTGTTGTAGGATTAGTGTCCATTTGATCTCTACTGTTGTTTGTTCTGCAATCTTGCAGAAGGGCCATGGTATTCCTGATTCCCTTATGAAAGATATTAAAAGCATAGCACGCGAATATTTTCATCAACCGTATGAAGAGAAAATCAAGATCAAACTCTCTGCAGAAACTGGATACAGGTTTATTCCTGTTGTTAATTTAAATTATTACTATTCGATACATTGTCTTAACTAATGGTTTCTTATGTATCTTTAATGCAGAGGATACCAAAGAATTGGAGAGAATGTAACCAAAGGCGTACCTGATAAACATGAAGCTATTGATGTATGTAAGATTAATTACTTATGGTGTGTGTATATATTATAATAGATAAAATAAGTGTCCAGCTTGTTTCAAAAGTATTATCCAAGCTTTCTTAGGTTTCTTCACCAGTGCCTAAAGTTTCTGAGTTGGATTTTGATTGGCATTGGATCAGAGTCAGATTTCGATAAGTGTATTTTCACTCATAAGCTCATGGTTATAGCTATATTTTTTTGTATTCTGGTCCAATTGCATATTATCTCTATTCGTTCTTTTGCACGTTTCCTTTACTCTATCATTTGAAGTTTTGGATTAGACACTTAGAAATTTCCACATAGTATGCAGTATATATCTGTTCGCAATTATTAGCTCACAATTTGGAGGTTTCGGAGCGTGTGCTCCAGTTTCTGATGATCCATATAACTGGAATGGAATGAATTACTGTGTAATAAGATATTTTAGATATTTAAATAAGTAGTGTTTGGATGCAAGGGGTGGACATATCTTCTATGTGCAGAACATTTGAATGTCCAAATATGTAAGTATGTGTGCCTTCGAAAAAGAGAATTTTTAAACAATGTACAGATTATAGTGCTATTCTTATTCACCCTCTATCTCTCGGGATGGGGCTCATTCCCTTTTAGGTGGACGGTGGTCTTGTTTCAACTAATTGGATTTCTGGCTCAACTGTGAACTTCATACTAAATTCATTCACAAATTTATTAAGTTCCTCTCAATGTCAGTTTCTATTTTCACACGTGTTTGCAGTGTTACTAAATCATATTTGATGCATTTTCATCTAAATCTCATTGCAGTGTTATAGAGAAGTGACTCATGGGATGTATGGAGGTCTTGGAGACGTTATGCAAGGATCCAACATATGGTAGGTTAAACAAGTTGCTTATAATGCATGGTCTTTGCACTAAACCCTCCTTTTTTTCCCTTTATACATCTTAAAACCCTTGTTATTGCTATTGCTTGGTTTATACTCCTGATTCCTAAATGGCTACTTTAGATTTTGTTTCTTCTTGTTTAGCCTATGTACATTGTTTTCTTAAGCAGGCCAAGTAATCCTCCAAATTTCAAGCAGTTAATGGAGGTGTATATTGACCGCTGCACAGGTGCCTTGCTCTGTTGATTCCATCTACATTTTTGCGACTTACAAAAAGTTAACGCTGGAGCTGAAAAAATGTTGATGAACTGTTATATTATATTGCTGACAGATCTATCACGAAAGATAATGAGAGGAATTGCTCTGGCATTGGGTGGATCAGCTGATGAAATGGAGGGTGAAATTGGTGGTGATCCATTTTGGGTCTTTCGAATAATTGGTTACCCTGCTGCGTCCATTTCAAATGGACATGATAAGGCTCACAATGATGTTGGATGGTAAGTCCCAGTGTTGGTTGTCACGTTGTCTTTCTGTTATCGTTGAATCTCTTTTCCAATGAGTGATGTTTTTGCTTTCTGTTTTGTCCATATCTTTTCTTGGAATCAAATAAATCTCAGTGGCGCCCATACAGACTATGGTAAAGCTTCTGATCTCTACAAGGATAGTACCCTATCCCCATTGATTACCAATCATGATTGTTTTCTTCTCTTACAGGCCTATTGACATTAGTCAACCAGGATGACGGTATCATTGCCCTTCAGGTATTATATAATGTCCTTGTTCCAATTTTCCCCCCTTTCCGAGCTACTGAAGCGTGCTTACTGTCTCCCTAGATTTACTTAGCAAAGCCTCTGTCGTACATCGTTGTATTATGATTTGAAGTTCATCCTGGTTTGCTGATGAGATATAGACCTCATTTTGTTCCATTCCTAATCATATTGAGTTGTTTTAAGGTGAGAAATAAATCGGGAGAGTGGATATCAGCACCACCTATCCCCGGCACATTTGTGTGCAATATAGGAGATATGTTGAAGGTATTTAATTTGCTTTATAGGAGTAAATTTTTTCATCAATTAAACATTTCTACTTAAGAAGTTGTTGTTTGCTTCTATTGGTAGATCTTATCAAACGGAATTTATGAATCAACATTGCACCGGGTTATCAACAACTCTCCCAAATATCGTGTTTGTGTGGCCTACTTTTATGAGGTTAAAACACTTGCATTTTCTTTTGTGATAATTACAGTAAAAGAACGATGGTACAGAGTAATCTTAGTTTCTGATGCTTTGTGTTTAACTTCTCGTATAGCCTAACTTCGATGCTGCAGTAGAGCCACTGGATGTGTGTTTACAGAAGACTGGTGGCACCAAGAATTTTGAAGGAGCTGTTTATGGGAAGCATTTGGTCAGCAAAGTCACCACCAATTTTATTATGTAGAGATTGAGCCAAGTCTGAATCCATCTCCTCTCTTGCCTGGTTTTGTTAAGAAAATAAGAAGGTACTTGTGTACATTATGGATACTGTGTCTTGTATGGGCCTCAGCTTCCCTATCTATCTCCCCACAGGAAAAAAAGAAGAGAAAAAATGTAAATGGAATAAAAGTAAGGTTGTAAACCCTTGAAAATAACAGCATATCCCGTGTAATCTTATGAATGAAGTGTTGGGAGTGTAGAGTGTGATGGAGGTTGTATCAAAAGGCTCTCGGCATAAGTAAGTGAGTAACGCATATCAAAGCAGTTCTCTTTTAGGAATTTGGATATAATTCGATAATCGAATTAGCAGAAATTGAAGGGTAAGAAATAACGACACTAGTACTAAAGCTATTGATATACAAGGAAAAGCACACACAGTGCATCAAACCTCCACTATTTAGAAATCTTCTGGCTAATCCTCAATCTCCGTATTATGCAAATATACAATTACTATTTAAATATATAAGAATTAATTTTAAATCTATATTTTTAATAGCTTAACACTTCCAGTAAAGATCAAATTTTGGATAGGAAAATAAGGGGTATATTTGGGATAAAAATTATTGAAGAAAATTATTTTACTGATAGGCATTTGTACCAATTGAGTATTGGAGAAAAATTTGGTCAGGATTTGGTCGTAAAATAAATATGTTATTTTATCTTTTAAGTTTTAATATTTTTTGAATAAAAAATAGAAAAAAAATTGATTTATTTAAAAATAAAAAAAATATTATAACTTTTTTTATTTCTAATTAATTTTTCTGATTATTTAACAATAGTATTGAGTAATAGTGTATGTAAAACGATCCAATTTGTTTATATAGTCTTGTGAGTTGTGTACCAATCGAGTAATACTGTAGGTGAAAGGATCGAATTAAGGGAGATGATCTCGTGAGTTGTGCCAATTTTGTGAGAGTATTATTATACTTTCTCCGTTCAATAGAGAATGACATAATTTGATCTGACACAAAATTTAAGAAAATTAAAAAAAAATTAATTATGTTGTTCTAAATTGAAGTAATATCAAATAAATAAAATTATCCTTTTAATTTTGTAATCTTAAATATGTCACGTGAAAAATTATTATCAAAAAAAAAATTGTTCTTTTTAAAATATACTAAAAAAAAATTATTCTTTCTAAAATTTCGAAGGTATGAAATAATGAGTGCCTACCAAAGCACACATGGGGAGGTCAGGCAAGAGGACTAATTGCAGGACAATCATACAAATGTCAAAGTCTTTGAAAATATCACATGTATCTTTACATAATCATATACTTGCTCAGTCCTATTTAGTTATTTACTTTAAAAATGACACGTATTAAAATTATACTATTTAGCATAGTAAAATTATAATTTTATTTTTATTAATTATGATTTCAAAAAAAATAAATTTTGATATTTTTAATTTTCAAAAAATTTAAATGAGATATAATAAAAAAAAATTGTGATTTATCCACGTCTGTGCTAAGTTAAGTAAAAAAAAACACTCAATATAAGTACAAAATAACAATGTGACATAAAATATGAAAGATGATTGATCCACGTATGTGCTAAGTTAGTTAAAATAAACACTCCCTCTATGTTATTTCTTTTTATAAATAGTTGGATTACGGTACTTGTCATTTTATAAAATTTATATATAAATTACTATTATACCCTTGATAGAGTAGTTAATTGATTTTGAAAATGTATTCATCATTTATTATAAAGTTGACTTAAAAAAACATTAAATAAGAATAGAAGAGTAAATTACATCATATTTTAATGCAAATGCAAAGTAAAAAATAAAATATAAAATGGAACGGAGGAAGAAATATTATAATCCAATTTTAGTTGTTATTTTTAACAAATAAATAAAAAAGATATATTCATTTTTTTCTATCAATTTATTTAGAGAGTTTAAGTTTTTGACAAAAAGAAGAACCTCTCTAATAAGTAACTTGATAATAGATATAAATTAATTATATTAATTATTATTTTTTTGATAGGTATATCAATTAAAAGACTGGACAAATAAATAAGAAGGGACTATCATTATAAATACTTCCACTTTATTATTATATTATATAACAGCATCAATAGAAGGACAACTTTCACATATAGCAAACAAAAAATTCATATTTGTATGTTATAACAAACTTTGCATTATTGCGCTCCATAGCAAACATAAAACTGTATAATTTGCTATACATATACAATTGTATAATTCGCTGGCTAAATTGTATCATTCGCTA